TTGATGACGGACAGAGTAATCGATCATTGAAGACAACTGCACAGATCACCCACAAGGGAGCTGAATGGATTTCAGTGGGTTTGGTGCTTCATCATCCACAACATACAGGCAAAAGTAGGGGACATATAGTGTTATGAAAGAAGGAGATGAGTGTTTGAATGCATGTGCTTGTGCGCGCCCACTATCCTACACGTCCCAGCGTGCGGACCGGGCTGCTCTGTGGGGAACCTGCATCACTATGTTCGTTTTTCTCCCGGCATACTGCCTGTGCAATGTACACAGGAATTTATACTCTTTATATTCTGATCTGACTGTGCTGTGTGATCTGACTGTGTTGTGCATAGACTACAGGCATAAACCCAGCAAAATATAGAGATCTACCTACAAATATAAATAAATCTACAGTATAGATTACATTTACTATAATGTGCAAAAGTCAGAGACCACGCTTCATCTAATTAATTTCCAGTCAAAATAGTACACGTTAGTCATTTTTCAAGAGATATAAACTAATCCCAGCTAAGCTAATCCACTTACATAAGAAAAGGGAAAGTCTAAGGAAAATAAGTGAAAAAACAAGAGTTTCCAAAACTCAAACAACAAAAAACAGGGGGGGGGGAATAAATAAATAATAAAAATAAATAAATTAATTAATTAATTAAAAGAGAGAGAAAATGGGACCCCTAACAACTGCAAGATCTGGTAGACCACCGTAACTGTCACCATCAGATAAATAGTACTTAAAGCTTTCATCTTTAAAAGAGAGACGAGAAAATCAGAGAACCACTCAAGGCTATGGGTCTGAAAGGATGTGTAGCTGTTAAAAAGCTGTTAATAAGAAGGAAAAAAATAGACAAAAAAATGGTTTTCAAACGGTCTTCAGATGGTTCAAATGGAGTCCAGACCTCAACATCACTGAATGTGTTTGGGTTACTTGAATTGTGAGAAGCAGAAACGGCAACCAGCTTCTAAGCTTTGAAAAACTGAAATCTCCTGAAAGCACCGAAGCTGTAATAAGGGCAAAGTGTAAACACACTAAATACTGAAAAAAACTGATATTTAATCATTGAGGTTTGTGTAATTTTATCTTAAATACATATTTATGTGCTTTTGATCGTTGTACTGATGTATTACTACAACCACTACCACTACCACTACTACTACTACTACTACTACTACTACTACTACTAATGAAAATACAAGTAACTATACAACATCTATTGGCCTTTCTGTTATTGTACTGTCTTGTTCACATGCATTTGAAGTAACTAAGTGGAGGGGGTTATTGTGCTATCTTGCCATCTTAAACATTTTTTTATTCTCTATATTAAGTGTTTTGATAGCATTCTGTAAAAGATGTGGCTATAGGCTTATGCTTATCTTATTCTTCTCAAAAATCCAACACAAAGCCTGCTGAATGCCGATCATATCTATCTATCCCGCAACGACAAGATTCATGAGTCTGTCATGGGCTGTGCGATTTACTGTTTCATCTAATTCCTCTGAGTTGTAATCAAGGCAAGGTGAGCAAGGTTCATGCCCACAGTCACCCAGAAGAATCCACTATGGCAAGCCACACAAGAGGGTCAGCGGGGGTCAGGTGCAATGACCAATCCCCACTGCCTCCTGCCTTTGGCCAGGAGACAAGAGCACTGATGGGTTGGAATGAAGTAGCCGGATGCTGGCAGGCAGAGCGGGGGGGGATGAGGGTGGGATAATGGAGTCAGGTGATAGGCTTTAACCTCCGCAGGGCTGCTCTCTATAGGCATGGCCAGCATCGGCCGCTAGGTCTGCCCAAGAGCAGCGGGGGAACGATATGTCAGCCACCTCTGACACTGCCATAATCACAGCAGACCTCCGGGGACCCCTTCACTGGAGCTGCTGGAATTGAGGATTTACTCACCTCACTGCCAGAGAGGAGAAGAGCAGCCTGAGACAGTCAGCGCACTCTCAATCAGCATCAACCGATGCATTCTGCTAGTTACAAAGACCTCTATGTTAGGCCGTTGTGCCTATCCAGGCTATTCTGGAAGGGAACGTATTTTGCTGTCACTGCATGAGTACAAGAACAATCGTTTTCAACTACCAAGCATAATGCGCAACCTCAGTCAGAAATACACACTGGGTTCTTCGGGGTTCTATAGTAAAGGCAGTTGTTACACAGGCTACAGAACCAACTTTAACAAACTTTAATGGGGAGTTGTTACATTGTCTATTGCGTGAATGTTGAATTTAGCAAATAAATATTGTGCGCTGAATAAAAATTGTGCACTGAAATTTGCAGAAAATTGTTCATTTTTTTCTCTGCACAAATGAGTTAACTTCTTTTCACTTAGAAAATCAACATAACTAATAATAATAAAGAAAATTGGTAAGATATCATGGATCTCTCATTACAATGACTTACTTTAAAAGTTATGAAGGGTTTTTTCTTCTCCTAAATTATTACAGTTAATGTTATAGTCATTTTGAGAAGTGGTCTACATAAAAAACAATATCAAAATTCAATTTAGACCATGCATAATTAAGATCGCATGGGTCTTTATACAACCGAAAGGATCTATGTAGGAACTGTTTATATAGTTCCTTAAGAAACCTTTTTAAAATTATTCTAAACAACACTGAAAAGGGTTCTGCTACTGTTGCATGGACACAACCTACTTTGTAGCTGTGTAGCACTTAACTTAAAAACATCCTGAGTTCTAATAACCCTGGACAGCAGTCTGCAAAAGCAGTGATACTGACTGAATAGATGAGAGCTGTTTGACCGTTACAGGAAGCGCACGGCCGCTGCATCTGTACACGCTGCCATCTTTAAAGCTTAAAACACTGTGTGCGAGTTGCGCGTGTCATCATGCCTGGAATATTTGGATCCAAGAAAATCAGCCCATTGACCTTCCTCTGTTCCTTCTGCACAGATACGCCGTTATCCACGGTGTCATCCATTTGCGTTCGCCGCATCCTGCTTTTAGCTGCCTCTCAACGTAAGGTGAGGATTGATGGAGTTGTGCATTAGTCAGAGTGCTTTTCAAGGTAAGAGGGAGGTGGAGTGCAGCACTGGAGCCATTGCACATTGCAATGAAGGTGACTGATCATAGCATAGACTACTATGAATGTGTAAGCCAGCTGCATTTGTTCCAAACATAACCATGTCATAACTGCAGGTCACCTTTAGGCAAAGTTTAGCCACTGGAGCCATGAAGAGAAGCCTCCAAACGCATTCTGCTCCAGGCATGTGCAGCTAGAGGAATAGGTCAAGCGAGCAGAATCGCTGCCTCTCAAAAAACTTTACCATAGAAAACGTTTAAAGGACTGTTTATTATTTTTTTAAAAAACATGATTACATATATTGTTTAGGGCATGTGAATTTCTGCTCTGTTCAAATGTTCAATATGCTCAGCGGGAACTGCTGCCGTGTTCTCTGTGAAACTCTTAACATTCACACCTGGGACAAAGAACTATTACCTGGACAGTTGTGGTTACTTCACCACTTATTACTTATGTACATTAATATGGCCTATTCATAAATAAAAAGCTAAAGCAGGGCTCATGAATAAAGAGATAAAGCTTGTTTTCTTATAAAAAGGGACCCAAGAAGAAACAACAGGATAACAGCTTAACTTATAAACATGCAAGAGTCACAGTACTGTGCAAAAGTTTTAGGCATAGAAAATTATATTTTAAAAGCTATTTATCTGGGCAGTAAGTGCTTACTTGCTCATTTTTGCTCACTAATATTAGAATAAATACAAATATAAATACAAAGCAGTGTTTCTATGTATGTCAATGTGTTCATTTAACCTTTTCCAAAACCCCTTGTGGCAGCTCAGTATTTGTAGAAATAAACATGGTTTGGCTAATCAATGCTTCATTATGTACGCTGTTGATTGATCTGAACAAATCTGTGTGATAAAATAAACATTCATGAACATAAATACACTACAATAATAATAAATGTAGCTGGACTACATTTACTGGTCTCTGTTATGACACTCTTCTAAAGAAGAGTGTATTTGAAAGAATATAGTAAACAGGATTGATGCGTACTCTTCCTACACATGCACTGGTTATGCTGAATCAACCGACACCGTCTTAAAACGTACCGTTTCTGCATAACGCCTGTAAAGTGTGTGCAGGACTCTCTTAACATATTGTTTTGACTGTAGTCTGCGAACGGTGTGAGCTACAGGCTTAGGCTCAGTGAAAGATCTACAGTCAAACTAGTAAGCAATGTATTATAATAGTTCCTTTAAGATTCAGTCTGAAAGTATTCAAATGCAAAACCTGTTGAACTGAAGTTTCCTCTTCTAGATATGTTTATATTAAAAAGACTGAGAGTAATAATAGAGGAGTTTCAACAGGATTCCTATAAAATCTTAACATAGATTAAGACATACTATGGTTTACTACAGGACAAGTGTTATAGACTACTATAAAGCAGTATGAGGTGAAAACAGATTGTTATATAGATTATTCTACATACGTATTATACTGTATCATAGAAATATTATAGTTTCTTACAGTATTATTGTAGATCTTTTCTCTGTGGGGGTAAATATGTTGTGTCTCCTAAACTCTGGGATCTGATGAGTAAGAAGTCTGGCAGGTCCCACATGCAGCCCTTTAGAAGTTTACCACAGGTTTATTTAGGAAAACACAATAAACAGCCAAAGCAACCACACTCGGTACACTTCAGAGAGAAGAGCACTGCTAAGACAATAAGTGCTGAATCTGGGCTGGATTTGGAGTCTCGTGCGTGCTGTGTGATTTGACCGGATCACTCTCTACAGTGTCCAGTAGCTCCGTGAATGGACACATGCAACAGTACAATGGAGTAAATCAGTCTAACACTGCCTCAAGAACAACAGCATGAGCTCACACACAAAGAAGCAGCCCTCACCATCTCCAGCTGCCTGCACGCGAAGTCCAGCACTGACGGCCAGCGAGCTGCACGAGCCCCTAAAAATAACCCGATGATTGTGACTGAATGAAGCTCTTACCTTGCCCGCGTGCCGCGACCACCACCACCAGTACGGCCAGCGCCACGGTGATCATGTTCTCTGTCGTGTTCGTGCCTTGTTTTTCGCCGGTGGGCTCCCGTTCTCAGCGCGCGTCCGTCCGTCTGTCAAACCACTTTCCAGAGCTGCGCGAGCGAGGCGCCAGCGCTCGGAGAAAGCACTCGCTGCGGGACCCCTCCGCACGAAAGCGCGCGTAGGTGGGGGAGGGGGTGGGAGGGGTTGCTGGGCTGGGCTCTGATCAGATCTGGAATGGTAATGAGAGAGGAGAAGCAGGGAGAAATGTGAAGTCGCTGCGCGCTCGGAGCTCGCAGCGCTGCCGTTTGCAGTCTCGCGCAGCAGCAGCAGCTCGAGCAGCGCTTCAGCACCGCGGACAGCTCCTAGCGTCCGAACACCGCAACAACTTCAGCTCCGAGCGAGAGAGAGAGAGAGAGAGAGAGAGAGAGAGAGAGAGAGAGAGAGAGAGAGAGAGAGAGAGAGAGAGAGAGTTCTCACCGAACAGAGCCGAACACTGCCCTCGCTTACGGTGTCTTAGAATTACAGCACGCGCGCTCACAACTAAAGGGTCGGCTCTGAGGGGGGCCTGAGAACACGCGCCGTTTCTGAGTGCAAACAGAAAGTCTGATCGCAAACAAAAATGTGCAGGATAAAAATGCTGGATAGATGGTTAACAGCGCGGGATAGCTTCCTGCATCTGCACGATAAAATTAAAAACAATGCAGGATAATGTCGTGCATTTTCATGCTGAAAACAATGTAGGATGACGCCTTATTTGCATGATAAACAATGCAAGTTAACGTCTTGTATCTGCATGATGATAAACGATGCAGGATAACTTCTTGTAATTGCATGATAATAAATGCAGGATGACTTCTTGTAACTGCAAGGTGATAAACAATGCAGGATAACTTGTATTAATATGATAAACAATGCAGGATAACTTTTTGTAATTGTTTGGCTATAATAAATAATGCAGGACAACTTGTATTTGTATGATGATAAACAATGTGGAATAACCTTGTATCTGCATGATGATAAACAATGCAGAATAAGTTCTTGTATTTGTATGATAATAAACAATGCAGCATAACTTATCACCATGCAGATACAACAATAAAGGATAGCTTCTTGTATTTGCATGGTCATAATAAAGCAGGATAGCTTCTTGTTTGCATGGTGATAAATAATGCAGGTGAACTTATTGTATTTTCATGGTAGTAATAAACAGTCTACAATAATGTATATATAAAATGGCAACAATTTAATGAAATTAATGCAGGACTGAAGGACAGGAGGTTACTGTATTTGCATGGTTAAAATAAAACAACACTCTAATGATAACATACATAACATGACAACATTCTAATTAAAATGTATTTTCATGGTCATAGCAAATCTGCAAATTGCAGGATCGCTTTCGCATTTGAGAGGTTATAAAATACATCTCATTGTACTGGTGTGCTTACATTTAAAAAAAATATTATAAGCCTGTGGAATTTGCGTTTTCTAATAAAACAGTCTATAATGACAATACAATGGATATTATTGCATTTGTGAGCTTGTAAAATAAACTTCTGCACATGTTTGTACAGTTCTACTAAAACGAACACCTGAGAGTTCACTATATTTGTATGATTCCAGTTAAACACAAGGGGCTGTAATGACAACATATAAATAATAACTTTCCATAATGGCTAAACGTATACAGACCAAAATGAAGCTTTCATTGTACAGGGTGATTTATGTGTTCCTTATAATGAAAACCTAAACATCTTCACATATTCAGTCACTGTCCCAGCAGGCTAAGCTTTAACCAGTATGAATCAGCTCTAAGGGAAATTAAATGTTTTGTGTTTTCCTGACAAGCGCGCGCGCTCGCGCTCCCTCTCCCCCTCGCTCTCTCTCTCTCTCTCTCTCTCTCTCTCTTTCTCTCTCTCTCTCTCTCTCTGAAAAGAAATTCTAATTACCGTCGTGTCTGTGGAGATTTTTCAAATGAATATTTCAAATGAATCAAATGAATCTAAATCCAAATTGAAAAATCTGAAAACAGGCCTCGTCTAAAATTACCCATACAATGACCCTCTCATCAATAGCCAGTATTTGCACTCTGCAATGAACTAAATCGGGCAGGAACGAGCAACGCTCATGAAATAAACATGAGGCTGGAGAGAAGGCATTGAGGAAACGATATAGAAATGTTAAGTGATGCTGCTCTGAGGTATTATGAACATGCGAACATTACTGGACGAATCTTAATGCACTTTTTAAAACCTGTATTTCCCTTCAAGCCTGTTTGTTTATGAGTGAGGAAACGTTCTGTAGCTGAAGCTGATCTGGATTAATTACTACTCACAGCTCAACAAGGGAAACATGGAAACCTGCAATTAGACTGCAACAGTGAACTCATGTTGAGACTGAAGAAATAAAAAAGTTTATTTAGATCAAGACTGGAAAAGAAAGAAAGAAAGAAAAAAAATGGGGAGTAGAAGGAAGAAAGAAAGAGATACAAAGAAAAAGCATGAGGGCAAACAAACATGAGAGCAAGAAAGGAGAGCAAGAAAGAAAAAAGGAAGAAAAAGAAAAGAAATGAGGGAATAACAAGAAAGAAGGAAGAAAGAGATACAAAGAAAAAGCATGAGAGCAAACAAACATGAAAAAAGAAAGGAGAGCAAGAAAGAAAAAAAAAGAAAGTAAAAGAAAAATGAGGGAGTAGAACAAGAAAGAAGAAGAAAGAAAGACAAAGAAAAAGCATGAGAGCAAACAAACATGACAAAGAAAAAGAAGAGAAATGAGGGAATACAAGAAAGAAGGAAGAAAGAGAGACATAAAGGAAGAAAGAGAAACAAAGAAAAAAGGAAGAAAAACAAAGAAACAAAAAGACAAAATGAGGAAATAGAACAAGAGAGAAAGAGAAAGAAAAGGGATGAGGGACTAGACCAAGAAGGAAGAAGGAAAGAGAAAGAAAAAAACATGAAAGTAATAAAGAAATAAAGAAATAAAGAAAGAAAGAAAGAGAAATGAGGGAATAGGACAAGAAAGAAGGAAGAAAGAAAGAAAGAGAGAGAAAGAAAAAACATGAGAGTAAACAAGAAAGAAAGAAAGAAAGAAAGAAAGAAAAGAAATGAAGGGAATAGGACAAGACAGAAGGAAGAAGACAGAAAAGTAAAATGAGGGAATAGAACAATAAAGAAGGAAGAAAGAGAGAGACAAAGAAAGAAAGAAAGAAAGAGAAAGAGAGAGAGAGAGAGAGAAAGAGATGCACCCACAAATACCAAATATCAAAAGAAAGGAGCAGAGAGACTCACCAGAACATCACCAATGATGTTCATCTATACAGTAAACTGAACAAAATCACTCTCAGATCAGCTCCACTGATCAGTTATAGACTGTATGTGGTCCAGTCACAGCGTCTGCATCTTTACAAATAATTTACATGTACTGACTTTTGCAACATGATTTTATTCATATAATACCTTTGCCCAGCTTTCAAACAGTCATTTAAAGGACAGAGCTACAAGGAGAGTCTCTTTTCACTTGAAAGGACACTAATTGTCAGCTGGGATGGATGGGAGAGCTGCTGATTCAGGAACTGAGACTAAAAACTGCAAACCCCCCTTCTCATACAGAACAATTATGAGCATACATCTACCTAATGAATTCAGACATTAACGTTTCGCATATAACGTCACAACCTGCATAAAAAATCATTTGCATGCCAATTCAACATTATCTAAATTAATTCAAAGGCAGCCAAACTCTTATACACTGCGGACAATGAGGAATGCAAATGGACTGTCCTGGTCAGCAAAGTGTAGAAATGCGGTGCCCTCATGCAGAGATCTGAAAAAGGTCAAAATGTCTTCAGGGGATTATCTAACATTTCTCCATGGCTTCTAATCATTCATAGCTTTGGCCACAGATAACAAGCTGAATTTTGGCTGTGTAAGTACAACAGGTTTGAGTTCACCCATGACTGCTGATTAGGTTTGTGCTGATTCATGATTTGTGAAAATCATCAAAGCTTTATGAGAGAATATAACTTGTTTAGCATCAACAATTTGTAATTGATTTTCTGTCACACTTAAAACTGAAGCCAGTCTGGACAACAGATTTCCAAGTCGTCTGACACACTCAGTAACTACTGCTGTTGAATTTGACACTTTATGCAGCTTATTTATCTATGAACTGCACCTACACTCTGGGCTTGAAGTACTAAGTCATTCAGGATGCGTTCTGCATGTCTACTATGTATGCAACTGGTGCAGCATCCTAAAGTTTACACTCTGTGTGCATGGGAAACCACAGAAAGCGTTTTTTGTTTTTTTTTTCATGCGCCAAATTGGGATGACTGTGCAAAAAGTGAGTGGAGATATTACACATTCTGCTGATCACATCTTTACTAGATTTAATAAAGGCTGAGCAACTCATGGCGGCCATTTTTTTTTTTTTTGTCGATTGTCCTCCATCTTTAACAACCATGTGTAAATTTGCATTAGAGTCTCAAAAGACATGCTGTTGAGAGACTTCCTTTGACAGCAGCAGACGCAGCACCTAGATAGAGGCGTGAGCCTCAAACACATGGTGAAAGAATGTTTACCATCAGAATAACACTGTTTAAGCTCTCGAGACCGGATATATGTCAGAGAAAATGCAGTGCAAAATATGCTATCATGCAGAAAAATATGCATATGCAGTCTGTGTTATCCTTTTACAGATTCTATTGCCTTAGCCAGAGTAAAACACCACCTATAGAATGTTTTTTTATTTAGAAACTTCATTCATTAACACCATCACTGAACTTTCATTTTTTGTTTTGTCTCGGACTTTGGCTCCATTTTTTCCCAGCACCTTTTATACTCTGCATGACACAAGTGGGCACGGCTATGCAGTTTGCTTAATAAGCTGCAATCTTATGGGCAGATTTACTAACGTTTTGTGCCATCAAAACTCCATGTCGTCACGATTTACTAAATAGATGCAACAGCCACTTAACGCCCATAAAAAAAATTATAAATAAATAGAAAGATGTGGTCAGTGCTCTTTGGCACTTTTCCCTGTCAAACACAAAATGCTTGGAGGGGACTGTCTTTGGCACTACACGGTTGCCATCGTTTGCGTTCAGAGAGAAAAGAGAGAGTTTATCTAACACATTTACTTCATTTGATGGAAAAAAAATGCTTGTAAACGTCTTTTTAATGCACTGAAGGAAAATTTTAAAAAGTTTTAGAAAAACATGTTTTTAACTATTTCCTAGCACTTTTGGTACATTGTACAACACTATAAAAGAGAGGCTTTGCTCTAGT